TTTATTTTGGACATCTTGATTCACAGTGATGAATTCATGGTGAGGTGTGTTTGCAGCCCTTAAAACACTAGTAAACATGGCTCTCTCTCTCTTTATTTTTAGAGAGAGAGAGAGAGAGAGAGAGAGAGAGAGAACTTTTTAATATTTATTTTTTAGTTTTCGGTGGACACAACATCTTTGTTTGTATGTGGTGCTGAGGATCGAACCCGGGCCGCACGCATGCCAGGCGAGCGCGCTATCGCTTTAGCCACATCCTAGCCCACACATGGCTCTTAATCCCTGCTCTAATGCCAAGGGGGATGCTGGGGCACCTTTCTATATCGCATCTCTCTGGGAATGGTACATGTACATATGTACCCCAAAGCCAGGTGTAGAATCTGTACTTCTCAGAATTCTGAGCAGCTCTAGTTTAGCTCTAGAGTTCTGTGAGTTTATGGTACCAAATAGTTTCATTGGTTAGTAGGACAGAATGTTGGATGAACACTCCAGTGAGGAGGTGCTAAGAGGGGGCTGGTAGGCACTTTCTCATTGAGAGGAAAGTGTCTGTAAGCCCTGTCAAACCTCATCTCTGTTAAATGAACACATAGTAGCATACACTCATGGGACCATGAAATTATCCATATGAGAAAGAAGGAAAAATGGAGGAAAGGACAGAGGAAGATGAAGGGGAAGGAGGAGGAGAGTTTAGAGAAATGATTCAACTTTGTGGATATATAGTATATAATTTTAATTTTCCTATCATTACTTCCTTTTCTTTCATGGAGTAATATTTGCCACATATTCCTTTTCACATCACAAAATGAATTGAGGGTGATGCATGCCTGTAATCCCAGCGACTTGGGAGGCTGAGACAGGAGGATCGCAAAGCCAGCCTCAGCAAAAACGAGGTGCTAAGCAACTCAGTGAGACCCTGTCTCTAAATAAAGTACAAAATAGGGCTGGGATGTGGCTCAGTGACCGAGAGCTCCTGAGTTCAACCCTGGTACCCCCTTCCCTTCCCCCAAAAAAAATCCAAGTGAGGAGGCCTGAAAAATAGTAAATCTATTTGGTCTCTTTGGAAATTAATACAGAATATTGAAATTACTACTGTTAATAGTATATTTGTCATCTTTACTCTTTGCCTCTTTTCCCTAGGGATTAAAAAAATGTAAATATTTTCATCAGTATCTTTTTATTATTTAAGAGTCTTAAATATTTATTAAGAGCATGCTATCACTTAAATGAACCTGCATGTATTTTTGCTACTCAGAATATGGCAAAATTAACAAATTAAGATGAAAATTGTTTGGAAAAACCTTAGTGCTTGATGCAGCGCCCTATCCCTTTTCTTACTCTGTGTCAGTTTCTGTTTGGAGCCTCTCTCCATTAGGGAGCAGGGTAGATTGCTGGCTGCCTTACCTGAAGGGAGTAGGCAGGCTCTTGGGTGCTAGCCTTGCATCTTGTAGCCCATTTGCTAAAGTGCAGAATGAACTGCTTAAGGTAAGGACCTTTCATTTCAGGATGAGGTATTGAGCCAGCCAGCCAACAATAATTTGCTAAGTGTTGGTAAAGTATAAAGTACTGTGCTGGGCTGTCAAGTGGATTCAGAGAGTATAGTGGCTCTTCACTCCAGCCGGGGAGTCAAAATAGACTCTTAAAAAAATTGGTGTCAGATGTGTAATTAGGAGTGAGGGGTGGTTCTATTCAAATGCTGCCACCCATGCCCAACGGTTGGTCCTCAAGTTTGGACCCAGCATGGGAATGGGGAGTCAAATGCAGTTGCCTTCATGGAAGGAACTAAGTGCAGGTTTTCCTTTCAATATATCACATTTATTAGCAGCATGAGCTTTCCTATCTTACTTTCCTCATTCTGGAAGGAATCTGGAGGCTGCTCTAACTGTACATGTTTTAAGTAGAGAATACATGGTGCTCCTACCTAGTACTGAGGGGCTTAAAGAGGAACCAGCTATAGTGCTTGCTGTGAAAACCAACACTGGAGTTGTACTAGGAAGTGGATAATGGGTATAGAGAAGCAAAAATACTGTAGGTGGAAAATTTAGTTATGCTACATGATTCATGTAGGTACCAGATGGAGACTTGTGCAGTAGTAGCCAGCTGCAGTCCATGCCAGCCCAAGGGTCCTAATGGGACTCTGGTAGAGGGAAGGAGCTCACTGAGGTAGGTGCAGGAAAGGAATAGAATTTGAGTCGTGTGTTGGGACCTTGAGTGACTCCCAGGGGATAGGGTATAGAATGGGTGAGCAGTCTGTTTGACTTCTGGCATTTCCTCCCTCAGGTGGTACCCACATCAGTTTTCCCAAGGAGCTGGGAAAGAGGTATTGGGGAGAGAGTGTGTTGTCACTATTAATGTAAAAGTATAATTTCCCCAAGTTAGAAGTATGACTTTCATAAAGATACAAAATGAAAGTCAAATTTTATTTAACCCATCAATTAGGAAACTGGTGAGATGGTGAACTCATTTCAAAAGGTATTTAAGGAACTAGTTATTTATTAACTTTAAAGAAACTGATCAAATTATGTTATATGCATGTGCAAATGTGCCACATGAAACTTTTCACTTGGTATAATAAATATGCACCAATGAAAAAAGAATTTAAGATTACTAGGCTATGCACAAATCTGGATAATGTCCTACACAGCAATAAAACCAGACTCTTTTGGTACTCGTTTTTTCTGCCATTCAGAATTCCATAAATTAAGTGGTAACTCCACAGGGTCTGCAGTCTACTCAGTGAATAGTAAGGTCAAATACAAGTACATTGTCTGGAGAGTTAAATAAGCCTTGGCAGGGCTCCTTAAACAATGCTGCAGCCTGGCATTGGGAGGGCTCCCTGCCTCCTTATTTCTCACTTCTTCCCCATCTCACCCAATTGCCTCATTCCAAGTTTTGTATGTATTTTATTAACATTAAAAAGAATACTTTGAAGTTAAAGAAACCTTAGATTGAGCCCCAGTTTCTTCACTTATTAGCTGTGTAATGTGGGGCAGAGAATTACTTACAGTTGGAATTATTTGCTACAAATTGGAAGAAGCAAGTGGCACAGCTTTTGTAAAGTGCCTGGGATATGATAGGTATGCAGTAATGCCTGGTTCTTTACAAATACCCTCTTCTTAAAATGAAAAATGTTTCACTTTTTGTCTGGTTTTCATAGAGTGTGACTTATTTACAGAAGTCAATGGGATGTTTCAACAAAATAGAGGGATGTTGCTTAAGTGACTTCTTACTTGATAGTCCTTCTTTTTTCAATTTTTGAAGGTGGGGCTGGGGGCATATTTCTTGCTCTATGGAAATATTACCTGGTAGCCATGGTATATGTCTGTAATACTCAGGTGTGTGTGGGGGGTGGAGGCACTGAGGCAGGAGGATTCCAAGTTTGAGTTCCCATCCAGGCAACCAGCCAGACCCTTTCTCAAATGATAAAAATGGTTAGAGATGTAGCTCAGAGGTAGAGCATCTCTGGGAAGGAGGGAGGGAGGGAGGGAGAAAATCAGCTTGCCTCCTTTTATATGGAGAGCTGGTTTCCCAAGTTGTGAAGGGAGGGAGGGAGGCAAGAAGGAAGAAAGGAGGGAAGTTGAGGTTTGTGAGAAGGGTGGAGAACTGGAGAAGGCATGGAAAACTCTTGCCTACAAGGATACATGCCTTGGCAGTCCAAGCTCAATTCTTTCATTCATTAGGCAACAAGTATTTATTGAGCAACATTTCTATGCCAAGCCCTGATGATTTTCTGTTTACATGTTGAGAGCCTGCTCTGGTGGAGACGGACAGTAACTATATAAACAAGGAAGATGATTTTGGAAAGTATTATGAATGAAATAAATAAGATGATGAGAAACTATAAGTAAATTGCTGTTCTTAGTAACTTTAATTAGGGTGTTGGCTAGAGACAATATTCTTGAAGAAGTGACTTTTTGATCTGAAGAATGAAAAGGAGTCAGCATGGGAATGGTTGAGAGAAGGAGAAAGAATGAACAGTGCAGAAAGATACAGGATGAATATGGCCTGTTCAAGGAACAGAAAAATCTGTGGCTCATGTGGTTGACAAGAGGAGGATGAGTGGAGATGTGATTTGATAATGGAAAGGCTATTTGAGGGCTCCAAAGATTGTGGGAAGGAGTTTGGGTTTACTCTAAGTGCAGTAGAAAGCTCTTAAAGAGGTCTAGAGCAGTGGAATGGCAAGGTGCTTATTAAAAGGAGAGAGAGAAAAAGGATGGAATGGTGGGTCTCATGAATAGGAGTAGGGAGACAGTGAGGTGATCCTTGTAGGAGTTGTGGTGAATCCCAAACCATAGTGGATGAGGGGCTTGGTTTTGATTTTGCTGCTATGAGGGAGCTATTATGTATGTGAGTTTTTGAGCTAGGTTATGTGTGTTTGTGAGTGTGTGTTGTATGACTGTGAGTCAGTATATGTGAGTGTGGAGTGTGTATGGATTTGTGAGTGTGTGTATGTGTGTGTGTGAATTTAGATTTGTCTTTTGTTATAGCTTTTGAACAGACTAGTGGCATGAAGGAAGGGGCTCTTGTATTGGTACAGATTTAGCTAGAGGAAGGCAAGTGGCAGAAAAAGCTAGGAGGGTAGTTCAAGTAGCTATGAAGTGAAGGCCTAGGTGATGCTATCTTGGCTAGCACAAAAAGAAGACTGCATTGGGAAAGTCCTGTTGTTTATGTGTTGTATTCTATATCCGGAACGAATGAGACTGAGAAGTGAAAGATAGCTCCATTAAAGAAGTCACCTTCTCTTCAAAGCAGTCCAGTTTGATTGCAGGCTGAATATTCTAAGTATTCTGAATTATCTGTTGTTAATTGTAATTAACAACATATGTACATCACTTAAATTCACAGATTTCTGTGAAAGGAATTCCACTTGTCAGAGATGGATGATTCTACTGCATGCTTTACCCTTCTGCCAAACCCCGCCCCCAAATACATACTCATTTTCTTTTTTTACATTAAAATCCTTAATTCTTGAGAAATTCATTGTGTTTTTTATCTCCCCTCTCCAGGATATCTTTGAAGATGCCTTGGAAACCATCTCTATGTAAGTAATAATATAATAAAAACTAAGTTATAATTAAAAATTGATGGTTTTCATATGTAAAATGTAAATTTCATTCTCTTTTTTTAGAGTAGTGCCCAGTGTTGAAAGTCACTACTCTGTAATTAAAAAGAGTTAGGATGTGATTATCCTAAAGAAATAATCTACCTAATGTTACTTTCTCTCTCTCTTTTTTAAATATATATAAAAATATAAATATAAAATATATATATATATATTTGTAGATGGACACAATATATTTCTTTATGTGGTGCTGAGGATCGAACCCAATGCCTCATGCATGCGAGGCAAGCACTCAACCACTGAGCTACAACCTCAGCCCCTCTAATGTTACTCTCCAATGTATTTTTTAGTATTATTTTTTATAACATCATAAAATAAAATATTTTCCAACAAATTATTTTATTTTATAGCTAACCTTCTTAATACTTGCTCATATTTATTTACATGGTTAACCTCTTATTATATTTGCATTTAGTTTTGTTACAGGCATTTACTCTAAGCCTCTATAGTTTCTGTAATAATTTTAAATGACTAAATTATATTAGAATCAAGTAGAATACCACAACTTAATCACTCTCCTTTGTTAGACATTTAGGTTGTTACTGGGAGTTTACAAACTTAAAACTAAGTAATGAATATTTTCATGCATATAGCTTTATCATATTTTGAATGATTTCCAAAGATCAACATTACAGAAGTAGGATTTTTGGATTAAAGGATACATATGTTTATTGCTCTTCATATATTTAAATTTTCCTTTCTATATTTGTTAGCTTAGGCTGCCATACAAAATACAGTAGATTGGGTGGCTTACATAACAAGTTTATTTTCTCAGCTTTTTGGAGGCTGTAATTCTGGGAGTAGGGCATCAGCATGGTTGGGTTCTGGCAAGGATTCTCTTTTGGCTTGCAGATGGCCACCTTCTTTATCTGTATTTTCACATGACAGAGAGAAAGATGGAGCAAGTTCTCTGGTGTCTTTTCTAGTAAGGGCACAATCCCACCATGAGGGCCCCATTCTCATGACTTCATATAATCATAATAATCTACCCAAGGCCCAGTCTTTAAATATGATCATATTGGAGGTTAGGGCTTCAAATGTGAATTTATAGGTAACAGTGTGGGCAGACATGTGATTTAGTACTTAGCACTTTGAAAAAGAATTTTATCTGTTTACAAGGCTACAACACTGTGAAGTGAAATCATTTAAATGTAGCATTACCATCACTGGATATTATTTGAAAAATAGTTTGCTACTGAAATGATACTGGTTTTAGTGTCTTTGATTTTCCTTATTCTCTTATTCATTGCTTGTTATATAACACTTCCTTTTGTATGACTTTTTATCTTCTAGCCTGTTTAACTTTTCCTTCAACGTTTCTTTTAAGGACTTTAGACTATATATGCCCTAATTTTTTGTCATATTTGTTATAGAAATTTTTCTCAAAGTGGTATTTTTTTAATATTTATTTTTTAGTTGTAGTTGGACACAGTACCTTTATTTTATTTATATGTGGTGCTGAGGATTGAACCTAGGGCCACGCATGTGGTAGGCAAGCACCCAACTGCTGAGCCACAACTCTAGCCCTCAAAGTGGAATTTTTATCTTAGAATTACAAATTTTATTTTGTCCAAAAATTTTAGTGTTTATGTTGTCAAATATTTTTATGATTACAGAAAGTTTCAATGTGTTTAGGAGTTCAGGAAAAATATTCTGTCTATTTTGGAACAGTTTCAGATTTATAAAATTATTGTGAAAATAGTGCAGAGTTCCTGTATGCCCCATACCTAGTTTTCCTTGTTATTAATTTCTTAAATTAGCATGTTACATTTGTTACAATTAATGATCCAATATGGATACTGTTGTAGTTTGAATCTGGAATGCCCCCCAAAGTCTTCTTCCCCAGTTTGGCACTGTTGGAAGATAGTAGAAAACTTTAAGAGATGGGGCCCAGGGCTGGGGATGTGGCTCAAGCGGTAGCGCGCTCGCCTGGCATGCGTGGGGCCCGGGTTCGATCCTCAGCACCACATACAAACAAAGATGTTGTGTCTGCTGAAAAATAAAAAATAAAATATTAAAAAATTCTCTCTCTCTCTCTCTTAAAAAAAAAAAAAAAGAGAGAGAGAGGTGGGGCCCAGTGAGAGGTTTTAGGTCACCAGGGATGTGTCCTTGAAAGGGATTAGGGTACCCTGGCCTCTCTTCTTTTTCTCTGCTTGGCTGCCATGAGCCAAATGGGCTTCCTCTGTTATGTGTTCCTACTGTGATTTGCTGCCTCATCACAGGTCCAAAAGCAGTGGGACCAACTGACCATGAACTTAAACCTCCAGAATTTGAGCCAAAATAACTCTTAACTCTTTTTAAATTGATTTATCTCAGAAACTCATTACAGTAATGGAAAATAAATGAACACAGATACATTATTATTAGGGACAGTCCTTACATTATTCATATTTCTTTGGCTTTCAGCTAGTGTCTTTTTCTGTCCCAGGATCCTGGCTAGCAAACTACATTATGTTTAGTTATCATGCCCCCTTAGGGAACTTGATTGTTACAGTTTCACAGACTTTCCTTGTTTTTGATGACATTGGCAGTTTTAATTGGTGAGTTATTTTGTAGAATGTTCCTTAATTGAGATTTTTTTTTTTCCTTATGGTTTGTTTGAGGTCATGTGTTCTTGGGAGGGAGACCACAGAGGTAAAGGGCCACTCTCAACACATCAAAGGTACATGATATCCATGAGACTGACCACTGTGATATTAAACTTGATCACCTGGCTTGAGATAGTATTTGCTAGGTTTCTCCACTGTAAAGTTACTTTTTTCCCCCTATATTTTTTCATATTGTGCTCTTTGGAATAAGTTTATTTGTGGTATTATGATGTGTTTTTTTTTTTGTGTGTGTATTTGTTTATTTGTTTTTTTGTTCCCCGATTACAGCTCTTTCCCCAAGGCTAACCATAGGAACTAAAATTTCTTCTCTTGAAGGCAAGTAATATCCATAGACTTACCCTGTCTGACAATGGGTCATTAGATCCCTATTCAGAAGGGATCTTCTCCCATACCTGGGAAGAAGGAATGCTGCTTGGAGAGGCCAAGAAGAATCTGAACAGACAGGGCTTGCTGAGTTTCGGCTACATTGCTACATAGTTGTTTGTGTTTCCATCATGCCTATGCTAGGTGAAATTTCCATAAGAGGCCAAAAAGAATGTTCAAAGAGCTGGATAGTTAAACATGTGGAGGTGTCTAGGAGGTTGTTTTATACCTCTAGCCCTGTTCTTCAATTCATCTGTATCCTTGATGATATCCTGTATAATAAACCAGTAATTGTATTTCCCTGAGTTCTGTGAGTAGCTTGAGCACATTAATCACACCCAATAATGGGATTTTGGGAGCTCCGATTTATAGCTGGTCAATCAGAAGCACAGATAGAACAACCTAGGGCTTGCAAATGGCATCTGAAGTAAAGGGAGCCAGGCTTAGAGACTGAGCCCTCAATCTGTGAGATATGAAGCTATCTCAGAAAGAGTGTCAGAATTGAGACAAATTAGAGGACCCTCAACTGTTTTCAGCTGCAGAACTGATTACTTGTTTGCTGTTGGGAAGAAATCCCTGTATCTTTTGGAATCACAGAGGTTTTTTATGTTGATGGCTATGGTGTGAAAGCAGAGGAAAAACAATTTTTCCTGTGCTCATTGTGATGTTTAAAAAAATCACTTTTAAGATTAGTGAGTTATTGACATATAGAAATCTTATTACATTCAACCCTGACACTATGGCTCCACTCTGGGTACTGGCAGAAACTGAGCTTGAGCCACAGAAGGAGTCAGTAGTTCAGGTGATGGGAAATGTTTGGGCTGTGTACTGCTGACTAGAATTCATCAGTGAGGTACTGCTGTCCCCAGGAGGCTTGAACACTAGACGCAAGCCAGGAAGAGGTCTGGCCTCACAGAGGGAGATGGGCTGTTGCACCTGATGAGACCCAAGGAGCAGCACATATTAGTACTTGTGTAGCTTCCAGCATGCACTGGCTGCATTAGGCTGGTAGCAGCTTTACCTTTGGGGTGTATGAGAGGCTCTGAAAGTGATTCCTAATAGTTTTTAAAAATTGGATTATACCAAAAAAAAAAAAGGGATCAAAACAAAACTGAGTTTAAGCCATTTGAAATTAATTAAAATCCCTATGTCATGCCAGCCCTAAAATTATTAGGCTATTACATATTCCAGCATTATTTTCTAAGTCCATGAGGAAAGAAAATTTATGTATGATGCTTCTTTTATAGAATGATAAATATATTAAAATAATAACACTGTTTTGGGCTTCCTAGTCTGTTCCTTTGATTTGTATTCTGTGTTTGCACAATAATTGCTCTTTTGTTCAGCTGTTTTAGATGTTTTAATACTAGTATGACTGATTCTTAGGAAAACAGTGTCCAAAAGGGATCCTTGTGATGGAGTTGTTTTTGTTTCATATCGATCAGATGCCTCTTCATGTGCTTTTCACATGAGGAAATCAGCAAGTCTGTGTGCCTTGACTTGGTTTTTAAAAAATTTTAAATTCGTTTTTATTATACATGACAGTAGAATGCAGTTATGCACTTTGATATATCATACATAGATGGGATATAATTTCTCATTTTTCTGAGTGTACATGTTGCAGAATCATATTGGTCATGTGGTCACATACATACATACATACATACAATAAAAATGTCTGTTTCATTCTACTATCTTTCCTGTCCCCACATCCTCTCTCCTCCCTCCCATTACTTCGCTCTACCAAATCTAAGGTAACGCGTGTGTCCGTCCGTGTCGCCCCTCCGCCCCCCCCCCCCCCCCCCCCCCCGCACCTTATTGTGAATTAGCATCTGCATATTAGAGAAAACATTTGGCCTTTGGTTTGGGGAGATTGGCTTATTTTACTTAGCATGATATTCTCCAACTTCAACCATTTACTGGCAAATGTCATAATTTCACTCTTCT